TTAGAAAAAAAGTGTTAAAAGCCAAAAAATTTTGAAATTGTTTAAATTTTATAACAGTGCAAAACAGATAATTAGGTACGTAATTTATTGTATTGTTATCATGTAAATGTATAAGAGAAAATTCATATAAAAAGGTTTTTAAAATATTTTAGATAATATGAAACCGTATGTTTCTTAGAAAAATGAGTGTTAAGGGCCAAAAAGTTTTTGTAATTCCATAATAACAAGTAAACATAGGCGATGGAAANAATTAGGTACGTAATTTACTGTATTGTTATCATGTAAATGTATAAGAGAAAATTCATATAAAAATGTTTTTAAAATATTTTAGATAATACGAAACCATATGTTTCTTAGAAAAATGAGTGTTAAGGGCCAAAAAGTTTTTGTAATTCCATAATAACAAGTAAACATAGGCGATGGAAATTTATGGTTTTAATATCTCAATAACCTGTAAATTAAAAAAGGTATGTTTTTAAAGAAACAATACCTAATATGTTTGTTGTTTATAATTTTATAGTGTTGTAACTTATAAACTTTTGTTTTTAGTTGGCTGAGGAGGAGCAATAAATGCCCGAAACGCGTGTAAATAATATCAACACGTATCAACTAAATAAAATTTTGATGATAAAAATTACCAAGTGCCTGAAAGTAAATACAATAATAATTTGTGTTTGAATTACTAATAATAACTACNCGTATGTTTCTTAGAAAAATGAGTGTTAAGGGCCAAAAAGTTTTTGTAATTCCATAATAACAAGTAAACATAGGCGATGGAAATTTATGGTTTTAATATCTCAATAACCTGTAAATTAAAAAAGGTATGTTTTTAAAGAAACAATACATAATATGTTTGTTGTTTATAATTTTATAGTGTTGTAACTTATAAACTTTTGTTTTTATTTGGCTGAGAAGGAGCAATAAATGCCCAAAATGTGTGTAAATAATAACACGTATCAACTAAATAAAATTTGATGATAAAAATTGTCAAGTGCCTGAAAGTAAATACAATAATAATTTGTGTTTGAATTACTAATCAAGAATTTTGAATTATTTTACACAATGCAAAAACTACTTCACTGTTAAATGTCTAATACAGGATAAATGCTGATTTCTTGATCTCAAAACTTAGATTCTGCTGAATTAACCAAGCTCATGCAATAATGGACCTATACATTGATATAATTATACACCTTTCACATTTCTGAAGCATTAATTCTAGTTTTGAGTAGTCAATAAACATATGTTAAATGTAGACTAATACCATTGATATCTTTCATTAAGCCCGGGCATCTTTCACTAAGCCCGAGTAAAATGAGCTTGAGTTGTACAAAATGAAAAAACCACTTGCAACTGCAATGTAGACAATCCAAGCAAATACTTGTGGTTATTCACAGAAATTTACGCACCCTCTTGCAATTATCTGGATCAAGGATCTTCAAGTGCCAGAAAATTGCTGGTCAACTTACACAGTCCCTGGTCTTTTACCACAATTCAGAAAAATATGATGAAAATACTTTAAGAAATCTACAATTTTTTCCATGTCTTCTCAAAACAACAAAATTTACAAAAATAATGCTTCTTATGAATAAACTATCTAAAAAATAGTTCAACTAAACATTAATTTTGTTAATTTTACACTTGAATTTATTTACCAATACCAAAACCAGCTATGATAAATAACTGTAGCAACTGCTAATGTATTACATAAAAGCAATTACAGTGGTGCCTCGTATAACAGATGCTGCGAACAACAGACTTTCAGTTTGGCCGTTACATGACTCGAGCAACAGACTGGTTGTGAACAACGGACTTTCCATTTGGCAGTTACTTGAGGCGAACAACGGACTTCCTGCGAACAAGTGCAAATGATGTTTCCACTCTTTTGCCGTTGCCAATGACAATCTGCTATTTTTATAATATNTTGCAGCTAGTTTAATAAATATTAATTTAATTATAATTATTAAATTTAATAAGAGATGGTGCCTAGTACTAAATTATGTAGAATTTAATTACTATTAGTAATGGAAAAATAGCCCAATTCATTACAGTGATCGTTTGGCTTTGATTAATAACATCATGTTTTAAGATCTGTTTATATGTATAAAGGGTAACATCGATATACAAAAAGCATGAGAATTGAACCATTTAGAATTCTAAATGTGGATGGAGTCAGAGCGAGTCCAGGATTTGTAGCACAATTAGATTTAACAAAGTTTGTGCATTACCAAACATGGCTAAGATTTCTAAACTATTACTTATGCCGTACGGAAATACATGCCTTGGGCATTACTTTTGGTAACGAAAAATGATGCACAAAACATCTAGACAAATTTAACCAAGAATGTTAGGCTAATTGCATTTTGTAAGACACTAAACATCACAAATTTTCTCAATAGAACTATTACAAATGTTCTTTTAAATAAACACAGAATAGCATATTGCAAAGTATCTGTTTTGTAGCCAATGTAGTACAGTAGAACCTCGATTATCCGACCCCCGATCAACTGACCCCTCGGTTAACCGACCGTCCTAGTCGGAAAAATAATGTGAATGGGGAGGTCTGTAAGTTGACAGGTTCCCGATTAATTACACAGGTTTAAAAATAATATATTTAATAGACATCTTTAAAGTTACATAGAAGAAGGAAAATTCAAAAATTGATACTAATAGAAATAATCAAAAATCTGACCTATCTCGCAACAATGATTAGTCTTCCCTATTCCGCGTCCATGTTCTATCCTAAACTANAATGTCCGCTAGTGATGTGGTGCTACAATATTTGGCTATGTCTTGGCTACTTTAATATTATTTTTACGTGTTTTAGCTGGCAACACTCATTCGACCATGAAAGGGAGCCAGTATTTAAACGAAGCTTAATTTTCTAATTTTTAAAGATACAATAGCGACGATTATTATTTTTAAAAATTTTTGTTAGGCTTAACATCGATGAAAATTCAACGCAAAATAGGTTAATAGCGATATACTAATTACATGGGATATAATAATATACTACACTAATAATGGATTTTTTCATACTTTTCGGTTATCCAACTTTTCAATTATCCGACCAACCCCAGTCCCCAATTAGGGCGGATAATCGAGGTTCTACTGTATTAAAAATTTGTACATTGCAAAAATTTCAAATTTTAATCTTTTCTATAATTAGTAAAAACATACCTTATTGCTCTGCTCATACTTTTCGCCACTGCACAAGATGGAACACCATACTTCTTGTCGAACGTCCAATAATAAGAAGCGAAGGCTCCTGCCAGCGACAGCTGTCCGAATCCCAAGATGAAGAAATTTGCCCAAAGGAATGCGACCAAATTATATATCTGTCCATACACTGTGTGTTTACCAATGTAGTCATCGAACTTACACTTTCCCATTTTGATGAGAGTCTCATTCTGTACAATTAAAAAACCTTGCTGAATTATAATTTCAAAAACTTCAAAATTATCTTAATTAATGAATTAAGTGTCAAATTACTTCTGAATCACAAGGCTTGGTGCCATTCACATCATCGACCATGTAAAATTGTTTTTTCCTAGTGGATGCAAGATAACTGGTACCAAGTTAAGATTCACAATTTCAAAAAATGCATTAAAGGCTTTGATTTTATCTAATCGAAAAACTAGATGTACTAAATAATCTACAAAACTAGTTCTTATGAAATTTTTCATATGATAAAAAATCTTATGTAATCAGATCTCTCACAAAATCAATTTAAAATTATAAAGGATACACTGCAGTTGCACCCCAAAACACAAAGACAGCCAGATGAAGAGCATAAGGCAACAGTGGAAATATCAAAGAAGATATCATGCAGCCGACGGCCCTAATAAAAATTTTAAATTTATGTTATTCGTGATTAAGTATATTAAATTATACATAACAAAAAAAATATTATATCAGCATATAACTGAAAATTTTACTTTTAAGTTCAATTTAAAACAAGAAAGTTTTTATATCATTAAATACATAAATATAAGGTTAGGTCAAAAAGCAAGTACGCCACTCCAATATTAGCAGTCAATGCCTTTGGGATAGAAGTCGATAGGCTGCTATCCAAAAAAGTTTGTGATCACATGCCAAATTCAAGCATTCAAGGTATACATGACCTTTTAAGTGTCGTTTTGGTGGCCCGAGAATGTGGTAGTCGTGTAGTGACAAGCCAGGTTGTAGGACAGGTGCGGAAAAACGGTCCAATAAAAATTGGCAATAATGGCCTGAGTAGTATCAGTAACATGCAGTCCGGCACTCACAGAGCAGTGCAACTCCATTGGTGATTGCACACCAGACCTTCACACGTCTGTCTTTTACAGTGTTCACCAATATACCACCCTCATTCTTTGATACATGTTGGCAGGTCTTTTCCCCTTGGCAACAAAAAACTGTGTAACCATTCCTGTTTAATGTTGGATGCTCACATCCTGCAGCTGATTCATACTGCTTTGTTCCAACCATCATACAAATAAGTGTGCAAACACCACTACCCATGTGCACCTTACATAACGGCCAGTTCCACAATGACAAAACCAGTGTCACATCTGCCATTTTGAAACTATGATGCTTGGTAACTTACTAATTATTAAAGTTGGGTCAAAAAGTAACACAATTTGACATAATGAATTTCCTGACCTATAATTGTTGAATTATTAAAAGACAAAGCTAATCTATTTTTAAGTTTAAAAATCTAAGGATTTGTTTTCTTGCTTTCAGATAACCATAACTAAGAATCTATGGGTTTTAAAGAATGACTAATGAATGCAATAACCACTTACCTGCTACCTTCCTTAATTAGTGCTATGGCAATTCTAATGCGATTACGCAAAAATATCAAGAGTAGAAGAAGAATTCCCAAAATGACCGCTGTGACAATTGCTGAAAAAAAATAAATAATTTAAGACAGCATTAAAATACTATAATAAATATATTTTGAGTGAAAATGCCTTTAAGCACTTAATACAAGATATATCAAAATAAAATTGGAAAACTTCGAGATTCATTTTTGACAGAGGGAAAAAAAATACACCACATACATTGACATACAGTGGAGTCCCATACAATGTGGGAATATGTTCTGCATTATAGGAAAAAGTTGAAGAAATCATATCTCTCTGAATGGCAAAATTAGAATTTTGTATGAGTACTAGTTGCAATTTTTTTTATTACATAATACAATTTTGCATTATAGGTAACCATTTAATACAAGACTTTACTGTATATCAATTAGTAAGCAAAACAATTTACAGGTAACCACCGTATAACACGGCACTTCTATAGCACGGATTCTCTCTAACATGGTTCGAGAATTGGTACCATCCCCCGTATAACACAGTACTTTTATAGCTCGGATTCACTCTGACACGGTTCGAGAAATGGGTAAAACCCTCGTACAACATGAAACGTAATAAATTTATACATACTTAAGTACTAATAGTTCACGAAAATTATTATTTTCGTGAACTATTAGTACTTCAGTGTGTAAATTTTCTTTTCTCGTCTCCATACACAGTCCTTCACGAAAATTGTTTCAATTTTGCCATATCTCGACGCTTCTGCTTCTGTGTTGCCAGATGTTTTTCCCTTATTCCATAAGTGCTTAGCACCATATAAGGAAATTTATAAAGATCTTTTAACTAGAAGCAAGCAATCTAAAATTACACACACTTTTTGCAAAAGGTAAAGCATGAATCTGAAAATAATGCAGAAAAATGCTCATAGGATAACAATAACTTGCCAAAAATAAAACACTCTCGGTTAATAGTGCTTTTAGTGATGACAAAGAAAACATTGTTTAATTTATATTAATATGTATCACTTAAGAAAATTTTAATAAAGATATTTATCTTAATTATGAAAATATAGTAGCATGTTTTTTAATTTTTGGAACCTAACCCTCCTTTTCGTACTAGTTCTTTG